ATTTGACTCTCTTCGATTTGCTTAATGAACTATAGCAGTAATAGTATTCTAGTAGTCCTTAGGAAACTTTAATGGTCTCTGTCGGGATTTAAACCCCGAACCTTAAAACGAGATCACTTCTCACAGTGCGCTAAGAACTTTTACAATTTTTATGGCTTAAAATTTATAATAGAATTGATTTTAGAGTTTTAAATAGTTTTATTTACGGTTTCTTTGTAAATATAAACAATTATCTAGTGAATTTCGAATATTTATCGATTCTTCACAAGAATCACTCCTTTTTAATTATATTTAATCGCAATAACTAAAAAATGTACTATTTAGAATTTAAGAAAATTATAGATATTAGACCTACCATAAATAATGACCTATGATTAGTGGATTTCATATCCATACAGTGTTCTTACTAGAATGGATATGAAACTATATTCGTTCAGTAGAACGCAATAACCTACTTTTTCTTTTTGTAGTCTATGCGTTGAATAGATAATATATATCCATGTGGGTGTAGAAAACATATTTTGGTATTCAATCCTATTTTAATGTCAACACAGAAACGAGAAAAATGTTGAAAGATGATATTATATTATCATTTATTGAATTTTTAAAATTGCAACTTTTTTTAACTAATAAACTGATGGAGTTCTTTAGAATTTAAATATTTTCATACCTAAAATTAACTTGCCTACGAATAGAAGCGGCTGGTGCATAAGTGCTGTAGAACTGCCAAAAAATGCAAGTATCTCAGCTTACACAGAAATTATTATGGACATCCTAAAATATACGTAAAATAATTTTTATGGATTATCTCATTAATTTTAATTATTAAAATAGTATCTTACTCTCATTTCATAGCTGAGAATAAGTCCAAACCGGACCAGTGGAAGACTTAACAGAAGCTCGCCGGGCCGCATTCATCTCTTAAACGATAACTTCTCCGCTGTATCTAAATACGATTTTTTTACTAGCAGAAAATGTTTTCGAATTCTCCATAGTAAACAACAAAAACATTGATTTGTTTATTATTTGTATTTATAGAACACCCAAATCAAATGTACACCTCTTTCTCGAGAACCTTCTTAATATATTTGACGCATTACCTATAAAAAGTAGGAAAATTTTAAGCGGCGATTTTAGTATCGACTTTTCTAATGAGTGTGCTACTCAAAAGTCTCTGACAAATATTCTTGAATCGTTTAGTCTCACTATGCATGTAGATTCACCCACTAGAATCACAAAAACAACATCTACAATTATTGATTACGTAGTCTGTGATTTTAAACCCGCTGCGCTGATGCGGAGCGCCAAGTAATTAGATCAAGTCTCTCAGACCTTTCCAAAGATTTAATATGGTATTTTTTTAGACAGCTAAAGTATCGAAAAATTTGTTTTTAAAATATTGTGTACCGCTATATGGCTGCAGGCAAAGCGTTTATTTATAGTGTGGAAAAGCCAAATGGAATAAATTCATTATTTCGATTACTGTACATATTTATAGAAAATCCCAAAACACGTCAAATTTAAATTATAAATTGACATTCTTTAAAGTGAAAATGTTATCCCTACCTTCAACCCCCTTTGAGTAACAGTTACAACCCCTAATTTTTAAATGGGAAGTATAGGCTTGTGATATATCGTTTAAAAGGTCTCTTCATTCTATATCCAAAAATGTTATTGTTTTTAAATTTATTGCAAAAATTAACATAAAAAAAATAAAATAACTGATAACCGAAATGTGTTACAATACACTCAATATGTAATATTTAATTGCTCATAACGTAAAAAATATGAATGTCAATGAAGTAGATGTTCAAAATGCTCACCGCGAACGTCTTGGCAACATCCTAATCTTGAATAAAAATGTCTTCTAACGTTAATTAACATATCAGGCGTGACCGATCTAATCGCAAGCATTATTCGTTCTCTTAAGTCATCTAAATCACGTGGTTTAGTTTTGTAAACAATATTTTTCACATAGCCCCATGAAAAAAGTCTAATGGGGTAAGATCAGGTGATCTTGCTGGCCATTCTATTGATCCTCGCCTCCCTATCCAGCGATTTGGAAATATTAAGTTGAGGTACTGGCGGACATTGATTTGGTAATGTGGAGGTGCTCCATCTTGCTATAACCATATGGTATTTGCTGGAACTTGAGGGTTTGCTGGATCAGGAAATAAATTTGCCAAACTTGGCACCACATCATTTTGTAGTAGTGCTAAATAATTATCGCCATTCAAATTCCCCTCAATGAAAAAGGGACCAAAAATATGGTTTTCAACAATCCCTGCCCAAACATTAACCATTTGAGGGTATTGTGTATGGACCTCTCTCATCCAGTGAGGATTTTCCGTTGGCCAGTAGCGGCAATTTTGACGATTAGCATGACTGTTAACGGAAAAAGTGCACTCATCAGAAAACATAACGTTTTCTAATTGGATGGTATTGTTATTCAACATTTCCATCATTTGTTCGCAAAAATTTGTTTTTCTACCAAAATCGTCTTCCATGAGTTCCTGAGTCGGTATCATTTTATAGACATGCATTTTATTTTCATTTAATATGTTTAGTATCGATGTATGGCTGACATTAAATGTTGCAGATGCTTGTCTACTCGATGTATGTGGGTTTTCCTCAAACTCAAGCATCATATCTAATTTGATATCATTACTCAATGCATTGGCAGCTGTTTTTTTCATCTGCTTTACATGTCCAAATTCGCGAAATTCCTTTTCTATTTTACTAATTGTACCTTGGGATATAGGCGGCAAATTCGGAAATTTTTCATGAAATAGGCGAGCAACTTCCATTTGTGTTCGGGTGTTATCTCCGTAACCAATCATCTGTAAAACTGTTATTTTATGCATTTCTGTTAATCTAACCATTTTTATGAAATTTAAACGACAATTTTAATAGTGACAATATCCTGCAGTTACAATTATTACAAACCAATTTGCTAAGGCGTTTTAAACAAACTAACTTTGCTATGATAGTTTTTTAAAGGATTTTTTTAAATTGATATTAAAAAGAACACTGATATGGTTTTTGCTTAGGTACTGCCTTATTATAAAGACTGAAACGGGAAATAGGAGTGTAGGTACTCTAGAGAATTTCGGTAAAATTATGATTTTATTTTTTTTTATGTTAATTTTTGCAATAAATTTAAAAACAATAACATTTTTGGATAGCGAATGAAGAGACCTTTCAAACGATATATCACAAGTCTATACTTCCCATTTAAAAAATTAGGGGTTGTATCTGTTACTCAAAGGGGATTGAAGGTAGGGATCACATTTTCACTTTAAAGAAAGTCAATTTATAATTTAAATTTGACGTGTTTCGGGATTTTCTATAAATATGTACAGTAATCGAAATAATGAATTTATTCCATTTGGCTTTTCCACACTGTATACTCTACTGTCATGGAAATCCATATTGATTTTAGAGAATCCTCTAATTCGATTTTGTTACACATAAATGTTAGGCAATTCTGTGTACACAAGTGTTTTATTATTAGCATTGTATAAATATATCTAGTAAGTCAACGCTTATGGAAACAAATTTTGATTTTATTATGCTCGTCACATGGCGGTTCCAAGTGGACAGTAGCGCAAATTAAAAAAAGTCGTAAGCAGAAAATAGTTTTCTCAGTTGGGTGGAATCTTCACTCAACATAGTTTTGTAAATTTTTATAATAATTTATGTCTAGCTACTGATTGTAATAGTCTTTCTAAAGATATTGACTCTAAATTTTTGGACTTTCTAAATAAAATAATTAAATATTTCAATGCAGCATTTCCCCTTCGCCCCATTAAAACTAAACGTTATAAACCTTGGACAACTAAAGAAATAAGAAACTCGTCTAAAAATATGAGATCACTAATGTATGTTAAAAAACTCAGATAATCCCCTAATATTAAACTATATCAACAACTATAGAATATTGTATCGGAAAATTATCAAATCTCCTAGGAAAAAATGCTACAAAAATCCATCTTAAGAGCTAAAAATTCCTACAAAGAAACATGGTCTATTATAAATGACTTAAGAAATAAAACCGGTTCTTCAAACAATGTAAATCCTAGTCCAGATGAACTAAATAATTATTTGGAAAATGTAAGTAAGAATGTCAACTCTAACATAGCTCCAAGTCAAGATGCTCTCTCCTTCCTCCTACCTATTAAAATTATTACGGATAGTTTTTTCCTAAGATCAGTAGATAACTATGAATTGGTGTAAACCATAAACAACATCCAAAATAAATATTCCCGAGAATTGATGTAGTAATCAACATTTTAACTTCGCTGTTTAATGAATCCTTCGACAGTGATAGAATATAGGTATCAGTACAGATGTATGAAAAAAACATTCAGAGTTTTAGAAAGTTTATAATATACCTTTCTAAAACACTGACAGTTTTTTACCTATATCTGTACCGGGATCTATATTCTGCTACTGTGAACCCCCAAAATTGTGGGCACGAGCCGCCCCTGATAATAATTATCATCTTGTCACTAGACTAATTTAGATCCCAATAGATGTTTCAATAAAATTAATAGGTATGCAACACTTGCAACGGTACATTGGGTTCTTTTAGGGAGGAATAATTAGAAGACCAGGTCTGAGACAGAACTCTTTCAATCACAAAATAGGGAGAATTGTAAATTTATTAGATCTCCACTAATGTTATCGTTAAAATAGCGTTAGCTCGGTCAAGTGTCGTAACTAAGGCGGTGCACAGGCATAGAGCGCAAAAATGACTCGGGCGGTGGCTTTTTCAAGGGCGCAGTTATAGAAGCTCGCATCGGGCGCATAAAAGGCTAGTTACGGCATTGGCATTAATATTAAAAATATGTTCATCTTTTGAACATATTCCAGGGTCAACTTTAAAACGATTAGACCATTTAAATAAATTTGCATATTCACCAAAAACATATATTATTTCCTATGAAACATGTTTATAGTTTTCATATTTTTAAGTTTAATTTTTTTTTTTTTATTAGAAACAACTACAAGAAGGTCTTAGGCTATCCCAAACACTCCAAGCTCAAATTGAAGCCCTACAGAGGGCGAAAAAAGCCTACGATAAGGCTTATAAGGAATCGGAAAAGGCCATAGAATGTTTTCAAAAAGCCGACGCTGATTTAAATCTATCGAGAGCAGAAGTAGAAAAACAAAGATCGAATATGTCACATAAAACACAAGTATGTGATTCGGCGAAAAACGAATACGCACAGCAGTTACAGAGGACCAATGAACTCCAACGACAGCATTTTAGGTAAAGCTATATAACTTTTATTTCAATGTATATTCCCTAAATAATCAAAAAATTGGAATGAACATTAGTAAATGATAGAAATCGAGCCACTAATATACTGAATCCATATGGATGGTGGTCAAAATAAAAATTAATTGGTTAGGTGATTCAAATTAATTTTCCCGCGCTAGTTTCGACCATCTGTTTTTTAGTAGTCTCCCTGGCAGTTATACTGTATTGGTCTTATGCATTTTTCGCCGTCTTACCTGTTCACACGTTTACGGACAATAGCTGAAAAAGGGGGGACTCAAAAAAGCCAATATCAAAAATAAAGCATATGAAGATCAAAAAGTAAACCGCTCCATCCACAGACCACTTTTTTTTTTTTATTTTTTTTTTTTTTTTTTTATTTTTTTTTTTTTTTTATTTTTTTTTTGTTTTAGCAAAAAAGCTTGAGCGTAACATGTCGTCTTGTTCCTATGGAAATTGTTTGTATATTATAGTGGGATAGTGACGTTAAATGCCGTCAAGGAACAATTATTATTTATGAAATATTTTTGTACTGCAGTACAAAACAAAGTTTGAAACATAAAACATGTTAGAGTATTACTTTTTGTGAAATTCTTCGAGGCAGAGCTCGACACAAAGGGCTGGTTTTTCCGTGCACGTTTTACATAAGTATTTCGTTTCTTTGCGGATTTTTTTTGTGACTAGTCTGCACCTCATATGGTGGCTCTTGCTAAATACTTTTTTCGGAGGATTTTCTCTGGAAAATTATTAAAAACAAATAGTACGCTTATAATGTGTGCTTATAAAAATAATTCAACGTTGTCGGCATACGCCGCGCTGAGTCGTAGAAACTTTGTTATAAACAAATAAAATTGCTCAAGGCGTGTATAAAACAACAAAACAATATTACAACTACCAACTACTTACTTTTTCTTATCAACTACTTTTCGTAGTATTTAAAAAAAAAACACTTATAACAATCTAGAGATGTGCACACAAACACAGATAAACAGTTAATCACTTGCTGGACAGTATTTTTAGAATAGGCACACCAGAACTCATGCATGGACATTTCATGCAATTTTATGATTTCTCTGCGACGGACGTTTACTGTCTTGTCGCCAAACGCCGCGATGAACCCAGAATAAAATTAGAAATTAGTCTACATATCCCGTCTTGTTCCTGCACATGGCGCGTCATATGCCGCTCTGTCCGCAAACGTGTTAATATATATAAAGTTGGCTAGGTACTGCAATAGTTATCTGTGAAATTCTGAATTTTTTAGTATCCAACTTTGATGTGGGCTATTTTAATTTTTTAAATAAGCAGAGGTGATTGCCCTACGACGTTTTTTTAATCGTAATATTAAAAAAAAATCCCATAGGGATCCAACTTTAAGGCCCACACCATATATATTTAGATTTTGTGTTTCTATATACCGGGTGTCCCATAGATTTCGGGCGGAACCCAGTCCAAGATAATCTTTTAATCAATCCTGTTGCACTACTTTACTCCAATTTGAAAATACCCATCTATTTACAAACATAGAACAGGTATAATTCTTAAATAAAAAGAAAACGCAGCATCGTGAAGCGGCATTAACGTCCCCACCTAAACCCCCTCGAAATCGGTTGTAATTAAAATTTTAAAACAATATATAGTATATTTTGCTATGTCCTCGCATTTATATCTGTACTCGGTCAAAACAAAAAAAAAGTAGTTTTCTACTTTTTTTTTCAAATATCTTCAACACGGTCCATTTTAGGGTCATCTTGTATATAACAAATTATAAATAATGACATCGAAAACACTTTTATCCGAAGAATTTTGTTCGTCAATCATAAATATTATTTACCGATTTTTAAATTTTCATCATTATGTAATATTCAATTTGCTGGTTCATAAACGCTAAATTTGGCCACCTTTTATAAAATATTGGTTTACTTCGATTTTGAAATTTTTTAATAATAGCAACCAGTTGGGAATGCCTGCAATTCGTAACGTGACACATACAATATGTTTTCTAATTTTAACTAAAATTGTGTTTTGATGAAACATTACTAATATTTAGGCAACCAATATTATTTTCTTGTATTAATTAAAACCACGATTAGAACATCATTATTAATTATTTTTTCTCAACGACTTGCGGTGCTGATTTGGACTGAAAAATAAGGACCAAAACAGCATTATTACTAGGTTGTAAGTTTAACCAAATTCTATTTTTTAGAGTCAACTTGTCCTTCTTTGATATAAACTTTTATTAATAATGTATATTATTAATTTTAAAACCAAAAAAGGTTTAATTTTATTTCTTTTCTTTTCGCAACTGGTGATATAATGAACTTTTTATTACCATGTAATGTTTGACTTTATATTGATTGAATAAAATATTGTTTTGACACTTGCTGCGATTAGAAAATTTTAAAAAATATTTTTTAAAAGAATGTATTTATATTTTTTATATTGCATTTTCTTATTTTTAATTTTCTATAGTTCTTATTTTTAAAATTCTTATATACCTATCTACTATTACATTGTTATATTTTTAGGTCATATCTTTTGTCATATTTCATTGTCACGCACAGTCTGTACTTGTGTACAAGTGAACACATTTAGTGACACATTCGTTCTTATTGTATCTTAATTGTTTTTGTAAATACACATTAATATACGAAGTGTGGCTATAAAATAACGTGACTATTGCTGCCAAACATTTTATTTTGAACTTATACATTTTTAGTTGTTATGACCTCCAATATACACCCCTCCTCTATCCCTACAACGCTCCATGCAAAGTTTCCATTGTTCGAAGAAGTGCTGGAAGCCTTTTTCTGTAAGCTCCTTCATGACGCGTGCCGCTTTTTCTTTCACAGCATCAACGGACTGAATTCCTGATCCTTTTAATGCAGATTTGACTTTGGGAACAGATAGAAGTCGCTTGGTGCACCGTCAATCGAATAAGGCGGGTAGTCTAACAACGGGATGTTTTATTTGACTAGAAAAATTGAATTTGTTAAATGTTCAAACACTAAATTCTTCATAACTTTGGTAAAAATTAAGATATTTGAAAAAACAAAAATGCGTTTTGAACTTAAGGGATGTGACTATTGATTCCCAGAAGGGGGCAAGAAAAATCCCAAAATTGGGCATATGGCGGAAGGGCAAAGTGTACCGCGGGCCTAATTTCATTGTTTGCCTATAACGGCCAAACTATTTAGATTTTTTAAATGCCACTTATAGAGCTTACTTTTCAATGTAAAATCTTATGTGTGTGTGAATTTCATCGAAATCGGACTATAATTGGCCAAGATATCAAACAATTAAACAAATTTTTTTTTCCTAAAAAAAAACTAAATTTTTTTCGAAAGTTTGAAGTCGCACAAAAATGCCAAAAATGCACCCAATGGCTCAAAACTTTTTTTTAGTACTTTATTGTGTCTAGAATACGATTACATTACGGAAAATTCTGCAAAAATATTTTATCTATTTTTTTGACCACTGTTTATTGAGTGACGACCAAAAAACACGGTTTTTGAGAAAAGTTGTCTAAAATTGACGATTTTCAGTTTTTTGGTCTGAAAATTGAGCAAACCCAAATTTCATGTCTTATGAATGTGTATACAAAGTTTAAAGTGTGTATGTTTCTTCTAAGTTGTAGAATTCTCCCGACAAAAGTCCCATTACACGCGCTCCGCGGGATCCAAAACTCCTGTAAACACCGCATTTCTGTAATTTGATTTTTTCCAGTTTTAAATTTTTTACATACCTAAATTTATAATTTTTATTGACTTGTTATAAGACGTTTCTTGAGTTTTGTACAAAATATAGAATTAGCCGCACGTCGCATCAAGGTCTCGCCATTCGACAAGTTTAAACTTCAAACGGTCATATTATTACAAATTGAATTGCTTGATAGTGTTCATCGGCATAGATTTTTAATAACCGTATTCAGCAAGCTCTGTGTACACGTGGTTTTTCGGACTTCTTCAGCAATTTATTGAGTAAGTACGTTCCTAAATTAAGAAAATTCTATCACTGTGTTCTTTTAAATGGTGAGAAATTTAGTTGAGTCGAACAACGACTTGTCGATTCATTCAAAGAAAGAGAAAAAATTGGGAAAACATTTCAAAAAAAAATTTGGCCACCTTTTCGCGAACTATTGCAGATTTGCAATGCGACCTATGACATTCGAAATATAACCGAAAACTAAGCTTTTTTGTGCTTAGAAAATTGCTCGTAAAACGAGTGGTTTTCTCTTAAAGCCAACATTTTCCCCTTTTTTTTTTTTTCGAGAAAAAACAAGCACACTGTCGATTTTTTCCGTAATTTTGGCACTTTACAGACTGAAAATATAAAATAATCAGTAAGTTTAATGAGAAACAAGCTTACTTTCTCTCTCAATTGCCAGAAAACGGCCCTTTTCTCGAGAAAATTCGAGTAGCTTCAATTCTCGCGGGAATTACCGATCTTTGCACACGTGCGCTCAGAAAACAGCGGATGCTAGAAAAAATGTATATGCCACAGTTTTTCGTGTCTTTTTTCTCTTTCATCTGATGGAAACAGTTTTCTATTCAGATAATTAGTTTTCAGGTTATTTAAGAAAAAAGTACGAGAAATCAACCCGTCTCATTCGGAACGTAACTAGAAAATACGTATTTTTGTCATGCATATATATCTTCTCACATTTCAAGTTTTCTTGTAAATAACTAAAAACCAGATGTTAGAGAACAAAAAACAAGCTTATCACCAAGTTGGAACTTACACTTAAGCTTAGGATTAATTTCCTAACATTTTTAAAGTATACCTTTTTGTGTACTTTTTTGTGCTCTTTCCGATGCCGAAGTTAGTTTTTTCAAACATATTTTTTTGTTAGATGTTTTTGGAAAACCCGGAGAAAATCATATGGTTTCCTGCGAATTCTCGAAAAAATATGACAGATTCGCCGCGGGACTTATTTTATTTGGTAGCCAACAAAAAAATACGCATTTTCTTTCATGGGCACATATGTCTAACATTTATAATTTCGCCACAAATTCATCGCAAATTTCATGTTCATGGTTCTGATCAAAGAAACGAAAAAACAACTTTTTGGTAAAAGCACTTCTGGCGGCGAGAAATTCGCCATTAAAACTACCTGTGCAATGAATTTCCGAACTATTTTTGCCTCCTCTTTCGATTGGTGCATTTATTTTTACTATCGGAATGACACTTGCCTAGATAATTAGCATTTTTACCATGGAAAATTCCGGAAAACCCGGTTTTTCCTAATTTAAAAAAAATTTAAAAACAGCTACATCTTTTTGCTTTTTTTCGGAAAGATCATATCCAAATACATAAGGTCCACTTTGTGTCATCCAATTACAAATTAATGTAAGCTCGAAGGAGCTTTTTTTCGTTATTTAATTGGACTAGAATATTTATCTTATCTTTATGAAAGAACAGTGGTGATTAAAATGAAATTTTCTTGAACACAAAAATATAACAGATTTATTATTATATATTTATAAAAGTAATAAAAACGATGTACACTTGTAATTACATTGAATGAAGGTATATGTATAGCTCAAAATTTATTTTTATCTGAGAAGGGTTGTGTGAAAATTAAGAATGCAAATGCTGGCTTTTCATAATTCAATAAAAATTAAATGTGGTGCTCGATGTGATGTGTCTGCGATGTGATCAACTCGAAAGCTTACTGAAGCTTATGTGCAGGGCTGCCGCGGAGATATTTGGAAATGTACTAGAAAATTTGAGCAAAATGTACTAAATTGTACTAAATTTTAGGTGGACTGTCATTTGTCATAACTGTCACGTATGTTGTCAGTTGTTATGTCAAATCTTGTCGAATGTCAACTGTAGGATGGATGGGCATTGTTTGTTTTTGTTGCTTATGTACTTTGAAAAATTAGAATTGGAATATACCACTGGAATATACCGATACATTAATATGAATATAGTTTTGTTTTAAATTTTATTATTTTAATCAAGTTTAAAGGCAAGTTTTTATATGTTTATCAAGGTAGGTAAAAATAAATTGTACGATCATAAACCAGTCACTGACACCAGGATTCTGCGCAATAGATCATTTGAGGGTCCCAATAATCTACTGCGCAGAATCCTGGAGTCGGTGACAGGTTTCTGATCGTTATTGGAATAGACCTTATGTAAAATCCCTTTTCTTTAGGAAAAATACCGCCAATATTTACAATACTTACCCTTATATCGGGAAACTTAAGTTTTCCATCATAGATGGTGCCACAAAGATGATCAGTATTTCAAATTGTACTAAATTATCCCTGATTTGACTTAAAATGTACTTTTGTACTTTGCCGTGAGAAATGCGAAGAAATGTACTAAATTTAGTACAATTGTACTGAAACGGCAGCCCTGCTTATGTGTCCATCTATTTATGATGTCACTAGCTTGGCTTAAACATTATTGGCTAGACGTTTGGCGCGACGCTTGCTGAGGGAATTGTAATATGTATGGAATTCAGTCAAATTCGCTCGCGGTTGGTTTTTTAATTTAATTAACTGTAAGAATTCGTTTGGTGTGACTCTTCACGCAATTAATTAAAAGTAGCGGAAATTTACTGAGATAATTTGCGCGCTTCGACATGTAATTAACTTACCACATTCAGGGCCTTAAAACACCTTAAAAGTAACCAGTTGGTAATGCACATCGCAACACACATCTCAAAGTCATCATCATTATTCATGGTAACACGCAACATGCGGCAACTGGCAATTTGTCACATTTAAACTGGTTATTCCCATTTTTGCTCTCTTGCACTTGCGTCTCTCATCACTAATAATTGCCATCAGCCACTTTCAGATCCGTGTCTTTTCTGACTTTGTGATATTTTACTTATAAGGAATTGTGTAATTGATAACTACTACATAAATTAGGATCTTATGAAAAAAATCCACGACTTTATAAGAAAGTTAAAAAGGAAGAAACTCATTCCTCAACACACTTAGTTGCAGAAGAGCTAGCAGGAACTTCGACAAGTGTTGGAATTACCGATGATATAGCTCAAATTGGAAAACACTGACAAAAACGGAAGTCTTCACAGATCCGTATAATCTCTTTGCATCAATGGCAATATGTGGCTACAGTACTGCTTCGTGCGAATGTACCTTTTCGAAGTTAATCTGTGATAAACAAGTCCTAAACAATTGTAGTAGCTCACATGAAAATAAAATATGAAAATGATATCAATGAAATACTATGAAAATTCTACAATATGGCAAATCGAAGGTTTTTACGATACTAAATATTTTTATCATGTTTGTTTTTTTTTTTCATTTAGTTTTATCGATTTGTAAGTTTTAAGAAGAGTGACATACCTATTTGCGGCACCACGAATACCAAATATTTTAAAAATAGTACCTTGAAGTATATTTTTGTATACTACTGTTGGAAATAATCAAAAATAAACACACTTATAAAAAAATTATGACATTGCTATAAACAAATGTTTTTTCAGTTTTACAAAAAATATGACACTATTTACTAGAAATAAATAAATATATTTTTGATATGTACACAATTTCAACACAACAACAATAAAAAATGTATAGTTATTTGAGGTAGTATATATATATATATATATATATATATATATATATATATATATATATATATATATATATATATATATATATATATATATATATATATATATATCAATCTGAACTCAGATATATTTTAGTTAATTAAGATTTATAATACCTATCACTTACATTATGCGAAACATTGAATCTTTAAAAAATATGACATTATTTTCTACAAAAATGTTTACGTATTGTTCAGGTTATTCAGATTAGTGTCATTAGCACCATCTATCGGCAGGTTTTTGAGATAATGCTATGGGACCTTATTTCAAATAAAATACGAATCTTTTGCGGTATGTATTAATGTAAAAAATGTGCATTTTTGAAAATATTTTACTATTTTTAAGAAGCAGCGATATGTGTTTAAAAATATTATAACGCGATATAGATCTCGAAAATAAGTTTCGCCCCCCTCTTCACCTACGTCTCTGACTAGCCTATACTCTTGATTCACTTATGAGGTGTGCCCTATTTTAAATTTCGGATGCCCTACTTAAAAATTGATTCTGGCTACGGCCCTGACCACATTCCGATATGTGACAAGGTTAGCTTTAGTGTTTAAATTCGGACAGATATTTAAAACGGCTTTCTTCATGAATTATACACTGAAATGTGAATAGATTATTTATTAATGTTAATATTTCTCTGTGATTTTATTTTAGTTAACGCTCCCATACTTTTCGCTATCATCGCCAGAGCTTAACAAATTCTTTAAAAATATCTTCTCCCCCTTATATTGTCTTTCATGGTTCAAAGAGGGAGCAAATCTTTTGTTATTTCCAAATTGTTGTCAACTGCGCGAATAAAAATTGTTAGTTACGCTGTATCACTATAATATCGGTGCTTTCGTCCAATGTATCTGTAAGGTGGGTAGAATGGGTTGCTCCACAGCATGTAGCTCATAAGGCACATAGTACATCCTCCAGGAGTATATAGAACATGCCTATGAACTTGTCAAAAAAATCTGCCGGTTGTCGCTGATTGTGAGAGGTGTCTAGAGATAGCCATCTTCCCAGCTCATCAAAGTCCTGTAGTTTATCAACTCGTCAAAAACCTGCTGGTTGACGCTGAGGGGTATCTGCAGACAGCCATCTTCTCAGTTCGTCAAAGGCCTGTAGGTTATTGACTCATCAAAAACCTGCTGGTTATTGCTGGGGGTGTCTAGGGATAGCCATCCTCACAGGTCTAAGTCCTGCTGGTTAATAACGTCGTCGAGAGATGTCTCTTGATGACCGATTTTTGGGAAGTCGCCATTTGTTGGGCTTCTACCACCCTGATAGTAAATGTCAATTTCTTTAATAATATCTTCTCCGCTTATAGCGTCTTTCATGGCTCAAAGCGCGAGCAAATCTTTTGTTGCTAGTTACGTTGTATCACTAATATCGGTACTTTCATCCAATATTATGTAAAATGCAAGACACTTCCACCACTTCTTCAAGGGCGACTTTTATTTTTTCGTCCATTTGCATCTATTATAATTGAATGTTCACTTGTATAAACCAACTTTGCGAACTTTTCTTATTTTCTAGACACAAAATATTAACGAATTCTTCTTTTGAAAATGGCTTCGAATATTCCTCAACTACAAAAATATTTGTTGGCCGGCTTCTCAATAATTCTATGACTTAGTTGCCCTGTAAAATTTTCGTATTATTACAAATGTTTAGTTTTTAAAATTGAACTTTTTTAAAACCGCGACGGCTTCATTACATATTAGTCTAATTGGCTTGTCTTTATAAATAACAAAGAAATATTTTTGGATCCACCTCTCTTGAAAGGTACGACGTTCTTGATCAACCTTTCTCTATTTACTACTTGAAGGCCCCTACATAGATTATTAAACATCTTAAAGCAGACTGGCGGCAACCACGTCTGTTTCTCTTCATATAGCGGGTGACCTAAAACCTAAACATCTCAAATATTTCAGAATTTACTAGAGCCTTCTTCTCGATCGTTATCGTAAGAAAAATATTCTAAATTTTCAAATTTGGCGGGACGTGTTAATAATATGCAACGCAAAAATTCAATGGCATGCCGGATAAATCTTACTCGAGGACCGAATGTGGTTTGTCCACGCCTGATAAATATTCCATACAAAAATGAGTTGTTTACAAAGAAACGAACATTTTCGTAACTAACTGAATTTAGTAAAAATTGTCGTGGCCCTACCTCTTTACCGAAACCTGAATTAAAACAAAAACTAGAATTACCTTTTTGGCTTTAATTTAACTCTTTCTTTTTCTATGTTTTAGATCTGGATTACCAGAAGTTTTTAGGCAACTTCAAGAACTAGACGAAAAAAGGATAAAGAATATTAAAAATTTCATTCTAGCATCTGTTGATATCGAAAGAAACGTATTCCCTATTATAAATAAGTGTTTAGATGGAATTTTAAAGGCTGCGGAAATTATTAATGAGAAAGAAGTAAGCCAACAGTTTAATTTTATTTTTATCTTTATTATTAAGCCGCCTTAAAACCTCATTTCTCATTAATGGAGATGTCTTTCATTAGATTTTATTATTATTATAATAATAATTAATTATTGAGTGTTGGACCTACATTATTCCAATTTACTATGAAACACATTAAAAAGTATATTTACATTTCACTAAATTTAATTATTTAATTTATTATTGTATTTTGTTTTGAAATGCTATAATTATTATTTATTATTTCTAACCAGGAAACACAAATATAACTTTTAAATATACGCTTACCGTGTACCATTAATAACTACCAAAAAGTATTGCACTTATTATAACTTCTTTTTTAGGACACATTGTTAGTAATAGAAAAATTTAAATCTGGATTTCAACCTCCAGAAGATTTTCCATTTGAAGATTTATCAAAAGGTGGTAGTGATTCAGGTAGTGCTACTAATATTAACAATATTCACGTTAGTGGGAAAGTGAAAGAGGGAAGTTATACAGTGAAAGGGACCATTACTACGAAAGCCATGAAGAAAAGGACAGGGATATTCCATATATTCGGCAGCAGAGGGGTAAGTTTATTTTGTTTCTGTTTATATTTCAATTCTGTTAAGAAGAAACTTTTTGTATATCTGATGATTATTTACTGATTAAGGTGAATTAGGTTTTAGTTGCTATTAAATAGAGAAGGAAGCTGGTTGTTGGATACAAAATAACAATTCATTTTTTAGTTGCAATTAGATAGGTGGTAAAATTATAACCATTTGGAATAGTGAATAACTTAAATAACTTTCTTTAATATACTAATTATCCGACAGGCAGTCACTATTGTAAATATCATTTTACCGATATTTATTATGCATATTGATTGAACATTTTCCAAAAGTTAATAATGATCATCATATTATTCTATCAGATAGTATGTTTGGTATGATGTGGTTTTGCACACTTTTTAAATATGGATAAACTAAGTGGTTATACGATGGTGGATCCCTATGCGCTGCCTCTGATCTGTTTCTAAGTGGTAGCTTGATTAATGTTTTTGACAGTTAGTTAACTGACTTTTGGAGATCATATCTACAAAATATCAACTTTGTATCTCAAAGCGTTGTTGTGCTATGGCTAATTCTTAAACTGTGTGTCGTGATTGTTCATAAAAATGGATCCTGTAGAACAAAGAGCCGTAATAAAATACCTCCAGAAAAAGGCATGATGCCAACTCAAATTCATAAAGACATTGTGGCAACTATTTGGGACTGTAGTTTCTTATGACATAGTCAAACGCTGGTGTCGAGATTTCAAATGCGGAAGAACATCCTGTTAAAACCAGCATGCTGGTGGTCCTTCCATAACGGTAACAACAGACAAAAACATTAAAAATGTACACGTTATGGTACTGCAAGACCGACGAGTACACATCAGGGACATTGAGGAAAATACTGGCTTAACATTACATGTGGTGCATCACATACTGAATAAAGAATTAGATGAGTGCAAGAGGGGTGCCCCGAATGTTAAATATTGATAAAAAAAATATTGGGTGTTGACTTGTGAGCGACTTTTGGGAAGCGAACAAAGATAACTTACTTAGTCGGTATATTACCATGGATGAGTAGTGGGTGCAGCACTATGATCCCGAGACCAAAGCGCAAAGTAAGGAGTGGAAACATCGCGGTTCTCCTCCATGCAAAATCGTGCCGTCTGCTGGACACGTTTTGCTGTCCATGTTCTGGGATGCTCAAGGAATGATCCTGACTAACTAATTTGCAAAAGGGACAGATCATTTACAGGGGCATACTACGCACATTTGATTTCTAAATTGCGATACGCCCTTAAAGAGAAACGCAGAGGAAAGTTAAGGAACGGTGTAACTGCTCCATCAGGATAATGCTCCTAAACATCTTGTATTGCCATGGCTGTTATACCCCAATCATGCTTTGAATTAGTGGAGCACCCACCATATTCGCCGGATCTCGCCCCCCAGTGATTACAGGCTGTTCCCCAAATTAAAAGAAAACTTACGTGGGAAAAATGTTTCCAGTAATGATGAACTGATGCAAGCTGTAGAGAGGCGGTTTACAGAAGTCGGCAAACATTTTTCTAGGAGGCTGTTGAGGTGTTAGAGCTCGGATGGACCAATTGCATTATTGTAGAGGGAGACGATGTCAAAAAATAAAAAATATAATGCCACTGTAGTTTTACTGTAAGGGGGTCAGGGGTGCCGCATAGGGATCCACCCTCGTATGTATTTTCATTACTTCATCTTATACTTTTATCCATCACTCATCGATCTTGGGACACATGTCTTTACTAACCTCAATCCATTTATTTATTTTGTGGCACCTGCAGCCAATGCCTGCGTCCGTTTTAAATGTATCTCCCTGCGTCAATTGAGGGACCATTGAGTTCCATCTGTTGCCATTATATCGTAGTATATGTCTCGTGAAACTCCATTTTAGCTGATTACTCTTGTTATTTGACGCCCCACCTTTTTTTAATATTCGCTCTTTCCATGTCTCATTTCGTTATAGTCTCGTTCCTTTTGGTTTTCTTTACTTAATTTCAAAATTTGACAAGGTATATGACATCCACTATTTCTAAGCTTAGTCTTCTAATATCTCCAGTTTTTGTCATAGTCGTTACTTTACTGTGAGTTATATATTTGTTCGAATATTGTGCTCTCTATTTTCATTTGTCCAAATACGTTCAAGGACGGTGGTGATCGTCCTTGAACGTATTGAGAAAATGCATGATATGATTTTGTCAAATCGATTGTTAATAGTGATTAAGATTGAGGAGGACTTAGGTATCTCTTTAAAATGAGTAATTATCATTTGATAAGAGAATGTTTTCTGTAAGATTAGCGTTTCATTGAGAAAATGCATAATATGATTTTATCAAATCGATTGTTAATGATTAAGATTGAGGACTCAGGTATCTCTTTAAAATGAGTAATTATCATTTGATAAAGGAGGTTTTCTGTAAGATTAGCGTTTTATTTAATGAATTCAGAGAAAAAAGTACTTAATACTGTTAAAACGATTAGAACATTGTAGGTACATGGATGAAATGTAGATTTTCCACTGCACAGAAGAACGGAAAATGCAATAATTAAAGCAGTTCATTTAATAAGTTTAATTCATTCTTCCATTAGGTTGGAAAAGTTTTTTTTTAATGTATCAATACTGTAGACTTTAGACTTTCACAAGGAAGCCGATAAATTAGAGAATCAGTCAAAATAATTTATCTGTACTTTTTAATTAATACTCGCAATTATGCGAATGTTATTTTCATTACAACTTCTGACCAAGTTAAAATTGTTTCTTATACTCAATCATGAAAATTCGTTTTTCCATTTTTTTCCATAGAAAAATTGCGCTAGAATCAAAAATTATAAATAAATACCAAATCTTAGGTAGTTTAAAAATGTAGTTAAGATAAATAAACCACGCAGATTTTTACATTTTTATATATGACGAGCGTTCATACTGGTGGTACAGAATGGGATATGTTGATTCTAGTTTAGATTTTAATATAAAAGGTTCTTTAATATGTTTTTTCAGACATTTTCACACTAATTGACTTACACAGAAATACAATCTTCTTTTTCTATTTTAACATATACTTTTTTTGGCTTGGGTTTTATTCATTCAACCAGTCTAGACTTAAATATGAATATAAATAATTAGCGGAATGTGCATAAAATTTAATTGGCACAGTAGATCGTAAAATTGTCAATACACTTGCCTTTTGATAAAATACTTGGATGTAGTTCCCCCAGGATATTAAAGATGCTCAATAGAATCGGTTCTGGCCTTTGTGAAGAACCACCTTATTATAAGATTCCAAATAAACCATTTGGTACCTTTGCTTTGGATCCTATACATTTAAGTATTCTTTAGGTACCAAAGATTGGAGCAGTATTGAACAAAGACAGTTATTTAGTTATTCTTCTGGTACGAGATAGATAATTATTGATAAAGAATACGGTTTTGTTGGGTTGCCTATCAAAATATGGCTGCAAGTACTTTTAATAATAATATAATAATAATAATAATAATAATAATAAGTTTATTCAATAAATGAAATTTTTTTTCACAAATAATACATTTCTTACAATACGATAATAAAATAAACTGATAAATCAAGTAACCAATAAGGTTGTTTATACATAATTGTAGACATAAAACACGCTTATAATAATATTTAATCTTAATTCTAAAACGAATTTTTTAAATATTTTTTTAAATAACGGGAGGGAGTTTAAAGTTAGAATATAAATTTAATATATTTCAGGAAGGAAATTATAAATTTTTGTTGCTCTATATTTAAAACATTTTTGACCCGCATTTTTATTCGTAACATGTGTCATTACAATAGTGCTTTAAAGAGGATAATTTTGTATATTTCTGCATTTAATGATTATAGAAGAAAATTGCTTTAATTAGAGTTGTTCGGGATGTTATTTTCTACATTTTTGCTCATATACATTATTTCTCTAAAATGGACCGTAATGGACAAATGTGAGGAAAAGTGCAAACGTTATTTTTTCAGTATCTTTGTTGGCAATGAAGTGATGAAGCCGTCCTTAATATACCTATTTGATAACTTTACAGAAAAGTCATGTGTTGGACATATCATGCTTTTAATAGCTGGCAACCCTTATATGCGGACACATTTACAGAGACAACTTCACTCCATCACGTAGATATAAAAACTAGCTTTAATTTGATATGTAATTTTTTCAAGGCAGGTTATGAACGTATAAATTGACCGAAAATACATCTGTTAACACGGGGTTGACAAGAGGTTGCGACCCAGTGAGAAACTGAAACACAATTTTTTTAAGTTCCTTGCATATATCTCTTCAATTAAATTAAAAGTACATTATTTCATAACTTCATAGCCATCGAAAATACTGAAAAAATTAAATTTTGCACTTTTCCTCAAATTTCTCCATTACAGTCAAATTTAGAAAATAATGTATTTGACCAAAATTATAGAGAATAACGTTACACAAACAACTCTTGTTAAAATAATTTTCTTCTGTAATCATAAATTACAAAAATATACCTTAAAGTAGAAACATTGCCCTCTATAAAGTACTCTTAAAAGTACTTATGGCCATATTTTAAAAGGCAATCCGGCAAAACCGTATTTCTCTATAAAGCTCCTATATGGCCTGCAGGCCAAAACAATTGGACACAAGAGGAGAGGGCAGATGTGAGTCAGATCGAGCACTTCACGTTGAGTTTTGAACTGTACAGTCCATTGATTCAGTCCATAACTCAACGAGAAGTGCTCGATCTGACTCACATCTGGCCTCTCCTCTTTTGTCCTCTTTTGTCTAATGTGAAGATAAAGAGTGAAATCTTGCTTTTAGATTATAACTGTCCGTTTTAGCCTGCAGGCCAAATCTGAGCGTGTAGGGCCTCCATAAGACTATTATTCTTAAAGAATACCTAACCTAATTGGTTTTGTGAACAGGAAGTAAATGTTTATAATGGCTTCTCCAAAATGATTTAATTTTATTATGTGACATGACGCTGTAAAGAGCAGAAAATGTAAAATT